AAACCTGGGTCCGGCAGCAGTATGAACCACTGAGCCACCAGAAACTGTTGCCTGATCACTGACACCAATGAATTTGGGTTGCAGCCCACCAGACATCTCGAAGTACTTCACAGCCAACTAAATACTTTTGAAGTGTAGTCATTATTCTAGTTTTGAAAAGCCAAGTCAACTCTCTCAAAACAACTTGCCCAGCATTGAGGAGCCAATCACTCAAAATCAGCTCTGCTGGTTGAGACATGTCATTCATAAGCTCAGCATCGGACTCCCGAAGCTACCAGTCCACTCAGAACTCAGTCACAGCAGGAGATTCCCAGGGGGATAACAGAAACACTTAGGGACATTATCAAATGTCAATCATCCCCACTGATTCATGGGAGTTTGGACTTGCGGCCAAAGAAAGGGAGAATGCTCATTCAGGAAGGCACTGAACATGTTGAGAGACTTTGGTGGGAACATGCAGAGAAGAAGTCAAGCTGTTGGGAGGGAGCGTACCTACCCAACCTTTTGGGCACCACCCACTCCACAACCTGCAGAGTCCACAGACAGCAGCCTGAAGCAGTGTTTGATTGAGGTGTACAAGGTTATGAAGGTTGACAGTGAGAAACATTTCCCTGAAGTTGGGGGGGGGGGGCGTCAATAGCCAAGGGGCACAGTTTAAAGGAACTTCCAACTTGTATCTTCAATGTGCACGAAAAATAAACTTGTATTTACTTAAACAGATAGTATCAAAGTTACACTTTAATCTCCACTATAGTTCCTGTTAGTTTGTTTTTTTAAGGGAAGTTTAGAGGGGATTTGAGGAAAGAAATTCTCACCCAGATGATGGTGGATATCTGAAGCTCATTGCCTAAAAGGGCAGTAGAGGCAGGAGACATCAAGACATTTCAGATGTATTTAGATGAGCACTTGATATGCCATAGTGTATAAGGCTATGTGCCAAATGCTGGAAAATGTAATTAGGATAGATAGATAGAATAGACAGAATAGTGTGGACATGATGGACCAAAGAGTCTTTTCTTTAGGGAGCTACTGTATTCCAGAACTTACTGAACTGGAGTGGGTGCAAGTCACCCTCAATCCTGATGGGCTGCCTTAGAAGATAAGTAGGAAACACAACCACAAATTTGTGCATTGCAGACAGCCACAAACAACAATACCATACAATACAAATATCCTTTTATTGTCACATATGCCCCATTGTAGAAGTACAGTTAAAAACTTTTACAATGTCTGCCTTCTTATGGCGACACCTTAGGTTCAAGTACCTAGGTACAATTCTTGGATACAGCACAGGGATAAAAGTAGTTGCTTAATTACTTAGTTGAAAATAAGTTAAAAATAGGGATATATTAAAGGGTATATTAAGGGATTAACATTACAGTATTCTAAGGTAAGGAGTTGATAAAGGCCAGATCATCTGTGTTGCTGAAGTTTTTTGATTAAGAGATAAATATTATCCAGGCACAGGAGATACCTCTCTTTCCTACGAAATCTTTTAACATCCACTCAAGCAAGACAAGGTTTTCTAAAATGACATCCCTCAAAAACAAACTAAGAGAAACTATAGTGGAGATTAAAGTATAACCTCAATACAATCTGTTTGAGTCAATACAAGCTTATTTTTCATGCACATTGGAGAAACGAATATCCTAGTCAGGGCCTGCTGAACTCTCCGTTCTCTTGTTTGCTGAGTTAAAAGTTTCCAGACCTTTTGTACAGTTACTCAGCCCATTTTGGCTGGACATTTCTCACGTCGTACAGCTACACAACCTATCATGACTAGGCAGATACCACCGACAGTCATGTGGTCAGATCACATGCACGCATGTGATTAAATCATGTTCTTCTAAGCGCCGAGATTTCTAGTAGCGGTGCTGCAATGTTCCACTCACATTGCATCTGCCAACCTCATTCTAACCATAGCCTTGAAAATGCGACCTTTACTGTTTACTTAAGCGAACAAGCAGTCACACAAAGCTTTCTTAGCACAAATACTTTTGACTTATGTTCCCTGAATGGTAGTGTGGCACGACTGCCCCACTGCAGCCTCCTCTTTTGGTATTGATTTGATTTGATTTATTTATTGTCATGTGAATCTAGTTATAAAATACAGTGACAAGTGTTGGATAGTGTCGCCACTCTTCAATGCCATCTTAAAACGCAGAAAAATGAACCAAAACATAGAACATACAGGCAGAAAAATGAAGAGATAAAGAAAGTGTCCAGTGTTAAGTGCTCTGTAATGCGTCATGGGCCATGGGCCTGGTGTCCAGGTAGGAGTCCCCATTGCCATTGGAATGATCGTCGCCACTCTTCATGCCATCTCACATCCACCAACGCCCTCACCACTCTGAGTCTTCACTGGACTTCGCCAATACAGACACCACCAATGCTGCTGGGTATCACTATGGCCCAAACTCGACTCCGCTGCTGCCATGAAACCACTTTGGACCCACATTGCTGATGCAGCCGCTATTGATGCTGCCGAGTCTCTGACTCGGCACAAACCTGCCTCCAAAAATCTGCCCTGGAATCAGATGTCGTCAGGAACCCAAACTCACCTCTGATGCCACCACCCCGAGTCTGTGATGCTGGGCTCACCTACCATCACCGCAGCCGAGCTCTTTAACAAGAGTTAAGTAAAATAAAATAGAAGAGAGAAAACAAAAGAGAAAAAAAATCTACTCAAGTTAACCAATGCTAATCTAACTGGGTTTCCTGCCCATTTTCTGGTGAACAGCCAGGTGATTACAGAGGGCAAGGACCTCAGAGGATGTGTTAAATTTCCCCACATTTCTATTCACCGTATAACAACTTCATTTGGTCTTTCACTAGAGCTTAAGCACATTTCTTGTATCTTAGAGCAGGCAGTGTTCACTGCTTTAAGTCAAGTTATAGCCAAGCCAAGTTGCAAAACTAATAAAATGTGAGTTAATGCAAATCCAGGGGCAGATATTAACATTCATTCTCCAGTTCCACACAGTCTCATCCCACAGTAGTTTCCTTACCGTACTGTGAATCTCCTTTTGAGGCCCTCCAGTTTCTACTATAAATAGTTTATGCTCTCATATAAGGTGTTCTTTAGATCTTCCAAATCCTTACATGGGGAATTGGTGCTGTTAATTCCTCCTTGTATTTCTCCAAATTTATTTTTATCTCATTTGACATATTTAGCTTCATCACTTCCTACGAGAGTGTGCTTTTAGACCCTGGACCACCTCCACCAGTCTGCACAGATCACATCAGTTTTAGAGTGGTAAATTAAAGATACTCTCTCTGTGATAATCTGTCATAATTGGGTGTTTATCATCTGGGTGCCGCCTCACTGGCCCACCGATTTATCGTGGAAATTAAGGTATAATTTTGACAGTCTGTTTGAGTGAACTCAAAAAGTTTAATTTCGGTGCACACAGGAGATAAGAGTATTCTAGTCAGGCCCTGCACAGCTCTCCATCCTTGTTCTTGCTGAGTTACAATTTGCATACTTTACATACCATACTCCGGCCATTTGAGCTGGACACATACCACCCATAGCCTTATCGCCAGATTACATTCATTTGTGGTTTGATCAGATCATACTCTTCTAATTGCTGTGAGTTCGAGTGGTGATGTTTCACTGAGATTGCCTCTGCTGACACTCATTCCATATATTCTCCTAAGAATCAACCTGTTTACATAGAGGGCTTGGTGACGTGGTGGAATGAGGTCACCTTTCTCTCAACATCGGCAAAACTAAAGAACTGACTGTTAACTTCAGAAAGAAAGGAGGAGAACACACCCCATTTACATGAATGGAACTGAGGGTGAGACAGTGGAGAGCGTCAAGTTCCTTGGACTGACAATAACCGACAACCTATCTTGGACTTCCCATGTAGATATAAGTCATAAAGGCACAACAATGCCTCTTTTTCCTCATGTGGCTCAGGAAATTTACCATGTTCATTGGGTCCCTCACCAACTTCTACAAATGCACCATTGAATGCATACAGTTTGGGTGCATAATGGCCTGGCACGGCAATTGCTCTGCCCAGCACTGTAAGAAACTACAGAAGGTGGTGTGTACAGCCCAGACCATCACAGAAGCCAACCATCCACCCATGGACTCCATTTACACTGCTCGCTGTTGCAGAAAGGCTGCCATCATCATCATCAAAGACTCATTTCACCCTGGTAATGTTCTCATACACCTCTTCCATCAGGCAGAAGATATAGAAACTTGAACACATGCACCAGCAGGTTAAGGAACAGCTTCTTCCTGGCTGTTATTCGACTGATGAATGGACTCTGTAGCCACAAATAATGCTGATCTTGCTAATGTTGATCTTGCCTAATGCATGCCCTATGCAATGTGACCTGTACGTCTCTTAAGTATTTTTACAAACTTTTATCTATACATCCTTGCTTACTATGATCTGCTTGTACTGCTCATAAACAAAGCTTTTCACTATACTTCAGTACACGTGACAATAAATTAATCAATCAATAACAGCTCATAGGGCACACCTCTGGGGTGGTTGAGACTTAAACCCAGGCCTCTCGGCGTAGAGGTAGGGACATTACCACTGTGACACAACAGCCTTGAAAATATGACCTTTACCATTTCCTCAGGCAGTCACAGAATCCCTACAGTCAGCCCAACAAGGCCACGACCCCAGTAACCCTGCACTTCCCCCACGGCTAATCCGCCTAACCTAGACATCCCTGGGGCCAGTCCACCTAACCTGCATTATCTTTGGGCGGCGGGAGGGATCCCACGCTGGGCACGGGAAGAACGTGCAAACTGCACCACGGGCAGACGCTCGGACCGAACCCAGGTCGGTGGCACAGTGCCAGCCGGTGTCACACACGGTGAAAGCTGGGAGATGGAGAGGAGCTGCGAGAAGGAGCAGCACGCGCCGGAGAGACTGTAGCAGCCGTTGTCATGGGGACGGGGCGGGGGGAGGTATTGTGACGTCACAATGGTCGGACGTTCCGGCGGCGGGCGCGCAGGCGCTGCAGTTGGGACTTTGTGTCGGTGGAGTCTCGGAGTTCGATCGCTTGTGTCCGTTCTCTCTCTCTGTGTGTGTGTGTTTGTCTGGGCAGGGCAACACGTCCGTGCACCGCTAAACGTGAGTGCCTCTCTCTCTCTGACCGACAGTGCACGCTTCCTAACTACTTGCTTGTTTGCGCCGACAGCCGCTGAACTTGCGATGCCTTGTGCCTCTTTTTTTTTGTATTTCTCCCCAGTGTGCAAACTAGCCCACCCCCCGCCCAGCACCAGTATTTGAATCGCGCTCTCCTTTTTCTACCTCCCCCGCCCCTCAGCAATTTCTGAACATGTTTTTGAAGTCAGGAGGACCAAGGAATGTGTCCCATTCTCATACAGGTTTGGCGATTTGGCTTCCTCGCCGAACAGCTCTTCCTTTTGGCATAATCTTCTTTTAATATCCAGCTAGTTCCTCCATCCCCCCCCCACCGCGAATTATATTTGACGGCTTTGTATATTTAAATGTACAAATCAGTCAGCTTAGGCTAGACTTTTAGTACTTTGTATCCCAGTACTTTCCAATGCTGGTTGGATAGACAAAGAAAAAACAAATCCGAACACAAATTCATTAAAGCAAGCGTTCAAGACCTCTTGTTTAATGCTTCAGCCTCCAAGTGCCTGAGGGAGAGAGGGAGTCTGGAAGAGAATAGTTCCAGATTTTTCCAATTTAAAAGCAAATTCCTATAAATTGAACTGAAAATTAGCGATTAAAACGTTAGCTATACGCAGCTGAAACGTCCAGGGCTCCATTGCAAAAGAAAATTAAATTGGACTTTTAAAAACGTATCCCATTCTAATCATTTGAATGGACGAACCCTCGTTCGAATGGAAATTAACGGGGACAGTCGGAAATTCACGTTTAACCGAGGACACCATCTGCAAGAGTAGCTACCACGGTTTTGTTGGTCTTGTGTCTTCCTAGTTTTTTAATGACACATGGTATTTTGTTTCAGGATTTGGGTAGCAAATTGTTTTCTTACCAGTCTGTTTCAACTTCTTCCAGTGATTTAATTGTGTAGAAGTTCATTTTTAAATCTCACATCGGCGTTGAAAACTCCAATGTAATTATTGATGATTCAATGTTATTTCGTTGTATCATTTATGAATGGACATTAACATTGATGTAATCTATCAGGCTAGTTTTAAATTTAATCAATTAAATCTCGATAGCATTGAAAACCTACTTATGCGAATAGCTTCCAGTGAACTTTGAATTGTTGGAAATATTATGTAAGGGGAGTTTATTGACTTAGATTGAGTGCATTTGAAGTCACTCAGTCCCAGGTGTGTTCTTTTTAGTGGGAGATGATTGAGGATGGCAAATGATGAAAATAAGAACAGAAAATGCATGTGTTGCATAGGTCTGTTACTATATCCTTTTGTTTATGATTCCTAATACTGAAATTGCTACATTTTGGTTTCGATTACAGTACTGATACTGTTTTGTTTAAACCAGCCATATCTTTTTATAGTGATTTCTTTCCACCCCTACCGAAACCTTTGGTTATTTTGGAAGATCAGCTGATGGAGGTCAGCGTAGTTGAAAACAAAACTTCTGACGTGAGACTGTATAATTGTCTTCTCAAATGATGAAAATGTGTGTCTGCTGAAATAGGTGAGATTAATGAGAGGTTTAATTGCTGTAAGTAGACATGTCCTGATGTCAGTCACTGTGAGAATTAGCTTAACAAATGAAGCAATTTTTAGCTGTGCTTTGCTAATTTTTTTTCTTGTGAAGCCAAGATTGAGAAAATGTTCGGCTTACTTGATACATTGACCCAGTATATGCAAAAGATTTGCTGTATTTTAAATGCAAGTGTTCTGCATGTTTTTGGAAATCTTTTAGTGGCAGCTCAGTTTGAGAAATGCATTTCCATTTCTGTTGTCCTAATCCAATACTGGAACCCAGAGAACACCGGCCCCGGTTATCGGCTTACACAGAGAGTAGAAGAGTCAACTCTCATAATATCACAAATTACGTGTTGTGTGTATGTTTTATTACAAACTAGATCTTGTATATTTTCCCACAAATTGAATTAGAACTTATTTATGCACCCACTAGAGACCTCTGACGTTCCCAGAGTAGTCACAGAATACAAAAGCTAATACCCGATCAGGATAGCTGATGCTGGCCACACGCTGCACTCTATGTCATCACCACGTGCTTGATGTAGAATCTGCTTCTGCGATCGTTAGTCTCCGGAGTTTTTGCTGGCTTCACACCCAAGGGTCGTCGTCTTATCCGTAGTCTTATCTCTCCCGAGTGTTGTCTTTTTCCTGTTGGCTCAGGCTAATTCATGTATCACATGCCTTTACCTTATTGGTCCTGGCCCAGGGACTTAGCATTACCTCTATTTCTCATCCAAATAAGGTTATTGCATTATTTCAACTTTTTTCTTGCAAAACTTAGTTATTTCAAACTGGTTTAAATCAGCTCAAACTAATAACTGCATCCCAGGTCATTTTTGGTTCACAAGCTGCTTCTTTCTTCGTGTCAGCACCTTTTGCATTCAGTACCTCCTGTTAGCGATGTCGGCGGCTGGTACCCATCTTTATTGTTCTGCAGCGTCTTGCTAACATCTCCTCAGGCAGTGATGTCAACAGCTTATCTCTCTCCCTCTTTCCTCCCTCCTTCCTCCCCACTCCTATCCTGGTACCAAAGTGACAGATTCTCCTGTCTTCTCTAGCACCAGACCTATACCTTCTGTCCTGTACTGAGATTCACTACGTCTAGGTACTGGTGTGGTTTTAATCACTGGGGAGCGTTGGGTAATAAGCTTCTTACTGGTCCTGAAAATTATGAAGGACTTTGGCCCCCCTACAAAAACCCCTGTATGCATCTCTCATTGCTATTTTTTTCTCTTCCCCCAATCCGTATCATGTCATCCCTTGGACAGTTGATGATCCAATTAATTTTCTTGAATTGCCTTGAGTAGCCACCCCAGTCAGTATATCTTTTGTTTGCATCACTACCCCAGTCTATATTCACAGATGCAGCCTTGGTTACCCATAATTTTACCTCGACCATCATTGGTTGCTCAAGAAATGGACCTATAAATTGACTAGTAATTTGTCTGTCTGGGATTACCGATAATGTCACCTCCAGAACTCTGTTGCATGAGAATTGTACCTCTTTTCCTTCCAGTATACCCAATGTCTTGCCCGCACATGCCAACTCATCCACTCCTGTATAATACAAATTTAAGTCCCCTCTGCTTCCTTTATTAGTTTGTGTTATGTGGGGAATGGAGTTGTTCTTGATCACAGGATATTCTTTCAGCATTGACGCTGCTCGAGGTGCATTCACTCGTGATGACTCTGATGCCAGAGTTTCAGGCATGATCAGCCCAACAGTGACAAAATGTTATTGCTCCCCTCATCCTAAGTTAGACCTGCAACGTAGAAATGTAATCTCTGCTCTTGTTTTCTGTTTATTTCTTATCACTACTATAAGCCCAAGTTCTCCATTCTCTGAGCCAGGTCATCTGTGCCCTGTTCCCAATCTGTGTCTGATTCTAACCGTCCATTTTGTCTGAACCACTTAGTTCCTGTACCCTTTTTAGATTTCTTGACTATCCTTTATACGTGGATAGCCAATAACGGGTCGTGTTCCAGTTATCTCTCCGGATATCTGTAACTGGTACTGTTCTTGCTCTCTGACTTTGGGAACTCAGAACATTAGCATCGAGCATCACATGCCAATTGTGGCTAGCTTGTTTCTCTCCGACTAACTTTAACTGATGTGATACCAGCTGCTCTTGCTTGGTGCTGTTACTACCTTGTATACTGATGGGCTAGCCCTATCTACTATCTCAAAGGGACTGACGAACTCGACTTGAGAATGAGGTGGGCTGGTGTATCCTTATCATTGCTGTTTGCCTGGGACTGAATCCTGTCGGGCTGGCTTTTGCATCAAAATAAGCATTGCTTTGCTGTTTCTTCTTCCCTTGTTTGGGGGCTGCTATGTAATTTGCTTCCTTTCCTGTTTCTACCAATTGTTGCACCTATTTTTCTGATATGATATTGTCTACCTTGGGCTCAGACAAGTCCAAACCTTTCCAACCCCTCTGTTTCTCTCATGCCTCTTCCTGTCATTAGCTTCTTATGAGAGTGTAGCCTGTTGATGAAGGTGTTCCTAAGTATCATTAAATATAGGGCAGAACAATCTACCAGGTTGTCTGATGCTGCTGCACCATTTTAGCTACCATGTTTTTCAATGTCTGATTTATCCTTTCCACAATTGCAGTAAACTTAGGCTTATAGGGTATGTGGAATTTCTGTCTGATCTCAGAAAGGGTCATTAAATTTTGCATTAGTTTGGCTGTAAAATGTGGTCCCTGGTCTGATTCTATGCTTTGGGGTATACCCCAATTCGTAAAGGTGTTCATTATTACCGGAATGTGCTTGTGTCCTCCTGGAGTTGGGGTTAGGGGTCCCATGTAGTCTATTTGTAAATTGGCCCACGGCCCTACTGCTCGTCCAGTATGTCGGAGGACTCCTTTCTTAACGTTCCGATCGGGATTATGCTCTGCACAGATCAAACAAATCTTAAGTTAGTGTTCCACGCCACCTTTCATTCTGGGCCACCAGCACACTTCCTTTATCTTATCCAGGATATTTTTCACCCCTTTATGCCCACATTAGTCATGGTACCAGCGAATTATTTTATTTCGTCCCCCCTCTGGCACCACAAATTTCCCTTCATATAAAACTACTCCATCCTGGATGAAGATCCCCTTGTGTGCTTTATATGTGTCTGATTCTGCTCCTTCTTTTAGTTTTTTTTGATTCTGTCTTTCTTTTGTTCCTGTGCTAAATCCATTACCTCGACTTGTTTCTCCTTCTGGCTCCCGATTTCTTCAATTGGTGGCCGCCATTCCTGCCCTTTTATAGCGCCTTGCTTGGCAACTCATCAGCCTTCCTGTTCCCCTTGGGAGATAGTTTTGAATGAGCTTTGTGACCCCGTATCCTTTCCTTTGTGCTTCTTCAAAGATGTGTTGTAACAGTGGGGATGATGGAAGGGACTTTCCATTTGCTGAGACAAATCCTCTCTCCTTCCATAGGGGCAAATATTCCATGAGG